TGCACAACAATTTACTATGTCAGAATTCAATTTATCTTTTTTACGTACTTTACAGTCTGCTAACATTCCATCTTTCCAAAGGCCTCTCTCTTTAAGAATTTGTTTCATTCCTTTCGGTTCTGATTGTAAAGTAGGGTCATCTTCATAATCCTCTGGGAACACCATCATTTGGGTTTCTCCATTCCATACAGTGTTTCTCATCTTTGGCTGCTGTCCACCAGGTTTTAAATTCATTCTAGCAGCTACTAATGCGTCGGGTGCCATAACTTTGTGACTGGTGGTATTATCAAATGCCCAAACCTCAATATATCCTGGATGAGTTCTTTCAAATATATCTATAGCATTTTTTACTTGGGGAAGTAACTTTTGTCCATCCCAATATCCGTCATGATTTGCACCCAATTGCATTATTAACCTTGCTTCTTCCTTCTCATCTTTCAATCTTCCAATTGTTTCTACTAGGAATTCACTAACATGAAGCCCTTTTCCGAGTCCTTTTTTCCTTAACGGTTGTTCACCTTCAGGTGCCCAAAACTCACAGGTGCCATCATAAGAATGGAAGGTACATTCATCATGGGTAATCAGGATATGTTTTTGTTCACCAGGCAATAAATACGGCTCTTCACATACTTTACAATCAACATCAGTCCACTTAGGCATTAACCTTTCGTATTCTGCCATATTTTGTAGAAATACTTTACGATACGCAACCACATCCTCCCTTTCGTGACCATCCACATATACGCCTTTTTGATATCTCTTATAATAAAACCCTATTTTTTTCATCCAACGCCATGCCGTAGTCAAAGAAATCGTTTGCACTTGATCAATGTGAAGCTCAGGCAGAATATTATTTTCAAAGTACTGTTTGACAAGCCTTGGATTTACTTTGAATTTTGTTGATCTTAAGTAATTTGCTACTTTTAAGGAGACTTCTTCATCATGAAGAAGTGACTGCGATGGGTGCTTTCCACGTTGAGATGGAGGTAAGAGATTACCTTCTAAACATCTTTTTCCCCACGCTCATATACATCTGGCACGATACTCACCACCATTGTGAATGGTTGCCACAACTCGACTTGCTTCCATTTTAGATGAGTCATGTTGAAGAAGTCGAATATAATGGATCACAGAAACATACTTCACCTTATCTGTCTTTGACATTTCCGTAGTATCTAGCAGATTTTGTATCCTTTTCTCAGTTTCTTGAAGTTGTTGTTTCCATTTTAATGGTTTTTCTTCGAGTTCAAGATCACTATCACTTTCTGAATCTGACTGCTGGTCTCCTGTGGCTTCATTTATATTATTTACTAGGGCGAAAAACTGGGTTATTTTATAGCTCCCTACTGCGTTTATACGGTTTTGTCGTGTCCTTCGTTGTCTTGTACGATCAGAATTTCCAGTATACCTCCAACGTGAATTTTTATTATAATCCATTTCTTTAGCATTTTCAATAAGCTTTCTAAATACTGTTTCCGCTGCTTCATCATTCTCCAAGTCATATGCATCGTCAATGATTGGTAAGTCATCTTTATCTTTGTCCTTAAGTTCTTTTTTCTCTCTTGCTTTTTTGGTATTTGCACGGTGCATAAATAAAATTTTTTTAATTCGACCCATATTACAAGACCCAGGTATTGGAAAGCACTTAGGAATACGATTGATATGAAATTTATCAAGACAAATACAACAATGGTCAGTTTATATAATATTTGCAAACCATCTATTCCATAGTCGTTGGCATCATTTTGACATTTGAGGCGTTCAAAAACTTATGATAAGCTGGAAATAACTCGTAGGCTTGTAGATTTGTTTGTAATTTCTGCTTTATTTTACCTTATTAGATCTTGAAATAGGGAGTATCCATCTATTTCCTTTTTTTTCTTTTGACTTGATTTTATCTATATTAACTATTTGCTTTTTCATATGAAAGCAAAGGCCGTAAAAATTCATCTGTGCAGCCCTGACATCGTTCCACCTTTTTAGCGTTATTATTTTAAAATTTATACGCTACTATGAACTCAATTAGCATTACCTTTTAGGTTAGTGGCCATAGGACAAATTATCATGGGATAGATTCATAAGTTATTTTAGGTTATTACGTGTATTTTAAGGTCAAAATGTAAGGCATTCGATTGATATTATAAATTTCGCTTGGCGTAATCCTGGGTATGCGCTAATTAACATTGATTAGATATGTAACTCGAATTTAATCATTTTATTTATTACGTGTATTTTATATGTTTTAAGGTTAAAATGTAAGGTGTTCAATTGATATTATAAATTTTGCTTGGTGTAATCCTGGGTTACTCAATTATGACGTACTTAATGAATTGATCGTAATAACGATATTAATTACAATGCTATACTTACATCACTGATTGAATTACTAATCACCCGAT